CTCAGTAGTGCTGAACAGCTTGTCGAGGCTGCTCGTTATCTGCAGCGGAGGGCAGCACGAACTTCACGTGTTTGCTGCAGAATCTAACCGACACTGCTGCGTCCTTTTGGCTGTGCGCTCCACGGGTCTTCACTTTCCCGAGGCGTTTCTTTCGATGCCGACCTTCACGAAGTCGCTGCGGTCTCCAAAAGAGGTGCCAGGGCTGAGTCGTTTTTGGTCAGCCTTTGGTCCTTTAGTCTTTCCATCGGTGCTCGCACTGCTTGTTTACACTTGACAGGTGCTTTTGGCTCCCGCATTTGGAGCCTGGCAACCTCACCGCGGTGGAGGGCTTATTATCTTGCGTTGCGGTTGCCAGAATGCACTAAAGAGGGAGAATACGGCATGGCATCGCTTGCCAGGTGCCCTCCTCGTCTGGCAAGCAAGCCTTCATCCTTCTTTAGCAACCTCTGCGAGAAAATGAAGTGACCGCGCTCAAGTGCTTGTCTTTCGGTAGAGAACGCTTGTTGTTACTTCCTTTTCTTTTCTGAAGTCTTCAACTGTTTTTTCTACTGAAAGCATAACCTTGAAACTTTGCTCCGCGCCGCACCGTTTTAAGGCTTGGTAGGAAACACGCCTGCTCGGCAGTTTTTCGTCATCATGGCCAAAGTAACAGAGATGCTGGTTGCAAGTGTTTGCCCGCACACCAGAACTTACAACGATGCTATTCTGATTTGGCAAGCAGTTCATCAGTTGTTTGATCGACCGTTGGAAGACATGGACTCGTCTGGTGACACCTTGGCCTTGCACAATCAGAACTTGTCCGGCTTCTTTGTTAGCATGTTGACCTTCCGCATTCTGCTGGCCAAGTTCTATAAATGTGAAAATGAAGGTTTGGACACGTTACACGGAGTCAGTCACCGTTGATCTTGCCAATGACATTTTCAGTCATAACTATTCGTGGTAGACACTATCTGATTCATGACAAGCATTTTGCTGCGCCTATAATCTTTTTCTTGAAGCAGTACGGGTATCGTTCAAGTTCACAATGTTCACAGTCGGTGGACAGACTCTCCAACAATTGTGTGGAGCGCCTATGGGCAGTCATTTCTCACCACCTGCATGTCATGCAGTGGTCAGCCTTTATGAACATACGTACTTTGGAAATTGCCTGTTACAGTGTGCCAAGATGGGACACGTGTTCCGGTTGGTTGGGATGTGTTGTGTGTGCTTACGAGGTCTATATAGGTGGTCCATGCATGGGTGCCTGGTCGAACATACTCGACCGTACTCGAGCAGACTCGAACGCACTCGAGCATACTCGAGCGTACGCGAGCTTACTCGAGCATACTCAAACGTACTCGAGTGTACTCAAGTTACTCAAGCATACTCGAGCGTACTCCTCGAGCGTACTCGGACAATACTCGAGCATACTCGAGCGTATGCGCGAGTACTCGGAAGGCAATCACCCATCGCGTCCGCAATGTGTAAAGGAATGCTATTGGCTGCAAGTTTGCGCATAAAACGGCATCGCTAACTACAAGCAACACGGCGCTGACAAGCATCCAGAACATCTCCTGCGACAGGTGTCGACTAGGAAACGCTGAAGCAACATAATGAGCAGCGACTCCGGGAAGGCAAGGCCAGGAGCTATTGCACCGTTTGCCAACATGTTAAACAACGGTCTGTCCTAAAGGTTCCTAACCCTAAGCATTGCGGCACACTTATCTTTGGTCTCTGAGCCTGAGCGTCAGGGACATGTCAGGCTCTTTCCTTTACAAGTCATTGCAAACTGTGTTCCTACCAGGCAGTAATGTTTAACGCCCCGCCGTCGAATTCAGCGAGAGTCGTCTCAGACCAGGCTTTCTTCGACTCCCTTTCATTGAAAAGCACACACTGATTTGAAACTCCGTCCTCGGTCGCATGAAAAGTCCACTGGCAAACTCTCCAAGCTTACTACTCCTGTACAAAAACAAAGTTCCTTTGGTACGTTACTTGGATCATCATCCTTGCCGCGCAAGGCCTGCCATGAGGACCGGGCATTCCTGGCTGCTTAGTTCCACAGCTGCTCGAATACGATTGGGGTCTTCAATGATGGCTGCCCGGAAGTATAACAACAGCTTTTCAAGCATCTTCCACTGCGACTTCTTCTCCTTAGTATTGTCTGTCGGGTCAAACCCGTACCGGTCCATGCTGGAGACAATCCGTGTGCAGTAAAACTGTGCCCAAACCGCATGTTGATGATCAAATCTGCCTCTTTGGACCGCCGGGACTTGCGAGAATCGAACCCACATTTCCGAATAGTCATCGGTTGTAATCTTGATCCAGTCCCGGGACGGTTCAGGGAGAGCTGGGCCTGTAGGATACTCAAACGTGCGTTGCCCAGCCTGAGCAACAGCCAATCCAGCCGACGACTCAGGTTCATCTGTGTCAGCAATAATAGCTTGACGGCGTCTTGGCAATGGAGGGCTTCGATGAATGGGCGGGCTACGAGACCGGCTTCGATAGTGGCCGGGCAACGTTTCATGAATACGCTCCAACATACGATTTGCCATCTGCTCCTTATGAATCTGAATGCTTGCAGCATTCATGCCTTGACCTGCTGTAAGAGTCAAGTACGGAGCAGTGGAGCTTGCTGGCCCCGGGGGGCCGGAGGACTTCGGAAAAAGATTCAACATGTCCTCCTGGTGGGAAGCCATTGCCGGAATAAATACGAACAGGCGTACAATACCGCAGACTCTCACGAGTTCTTGAGCAATACCACCACGGTTCAGAAAAGTTCCAAGCATTAGCTGTGAAGAAACGAAAAAGAAACGCAAGCATGCAAGCTAACAGTGGAACGGGCCTCTTTCTTGTGGGTTAGTCTGACTGCGGTGAGTCACGAAATTCGGCTTGAAGTCGGATATGCTTCAAAATGGGTGAGAGCAAGCGTTCATCATAGTCTTGATCAAGGTAGGCCTTCTTCAATAGCTGAAGATCCCGGTCACGTTGTTCTTTCGGCCAAGACGCTCTTGTAATCAGATGTGCTCTAGAACGAAAGCTACCAAGCAGTGTTCGAGTATTGGCGGCGGACAAACGATGCAAGAACTTCCAAGAAGCATCAGGCTGGACATATGAAACTGTACGAACAGTGGGGTCCACCTCAAAACCAAGGAAAACGTTGCCGTCTTCATACTCCAGCACAATGGTCGGAATATATACATCTTGATGCAAGAAGGCTTGGACAATCAACTGATTGTCATGGCTCCGATGCAGCAAACCCAAACGGTTGTCTACATATCGAACCACCATAGCCCTGCCCTACCGCTGAACGCCCGAGAATCGATGCTTGGCGAGAAAGAGAGGAAACAGAAACCCCATGCGCTTCCACACCAACACCGCAAGACCTCCGCCCCCGCATGCCCCGATCGACGAATTAATCAAAGCAGTAACAAATACCGTCATCGCAGACGATCACCCAATATCCAAACTTACTTACACATCAACCCAAGAGTATGCTCGAGCACGCTCGAGTATGCTCGAGCGCATACTCACGCATGCTCGCATACCCACGCATACCCGGGCATACCTGGGCATATTCATGTCCGCGCATGCCCGTGCATAATCACGCATACCCACGCATATACCCGCGCATACTCACGCATACCCGCGCATTTTCCCGCGCATGCTCGCGCATATTCTCACATACTCGCGCATCCCCGCACGTACTTGCGCATACTCGCGCGTACTTGCGCAGACCCGGTGCTATCCGGCCCCAATCTGCAGTCTCGTTTTCCCGGCAATGCGTTTACATTTCAGTCAGAAACACTGAGGCATTTGTATTGTTGCGAACATACGATGACGAGAAATTTGACACGTGAAGCAAGCAGTTGCTCCATGGATGTGTTTGTTTCAGAATTTGAAGCCGTTGCTGAGTTGTTGTGAATGCAGCGGATGACAGTTGCAAACCTCCGAACAGATATTGTAATGATGGGTCGAAGCATATAGAAGCATAAAACCAATGTGGTTTAGTTTTGACATTGGAGCTTCTTGGAGGTTGTTGTGAGTTTGGACACATGCCTCGATTTTGGAGTAGTATGCATGCTTTTATGACGTTGATGCGGCCACTTAAATTGCACGCCGTGTCGGTCGAATTATTTGTTTTTGAACCGTGCCATTGGTTATGTTTTGCCGCTGCGGAGTCGCCAATCGCTTGAAGCGACTCTTGCCAGACAAGAAACATCAATATCGGTCCAATGACTGCAAAGACAGTCCTTTGCAATCTTTTCGCCGCTACACAGCACGCTAAAATGGTCGGTGCCAGGGAAGTGCATGCTGCCGTCTTCGTGTGCATCTTGGTGTTGTAGCGCTTGGTTGGCGGTGGGTCTTCGTTGGTATGTGGGCGCACGGTGTTAATTACTTGACGGACATGTTCGGCCCAGGATGCTTGCAGGAGATGACGCTTGATCAGCAGTTCGAAATATGAATGTGCTGTGGCTGGGCTGGCTGTTTGCAGTTTTTTGACGGTTACCAGCGACGGGAGCATCTTTAGCATCAGATATTCAATCATTGTCATTTGGCTCGAGGCTGTGCCTGAACTTATCGGCCAAACATGTCCGAACTGTTGCAGTCATGCTTGTGCCCCCAAAACGCAGTCTGGATACTCTGGATTATGTTTTGCTGTTGGCTTACTTACACATTGTGATCTTATGGTGGCCCTGCCCGGGGACGAAGAGCAGGAGTGTTGCCGCGCGAGTTTGCTTGCTGCATTTGTGTCAGATTCCATGCCCCCCTATGCATGAAGCAAAAGAAAGATTCCTGCCAGGTCGCTGCAGCCCCGCGTCGACGACGTCTACGATGTCGTCTGGCCGGATGCTGACCCTCGCCCGCAAAGCTTCCTCTCACCGCTTCTGCTTTGAACCTCTGCTGACGCAATAGCGGGGCTCCAGAACCAAATTGCAGGATGCCGGGTCACGCTTCGGAGAGGCAGGCTTGTTGCTGGCAACAGTGCCTTCCTTTCTAGGCGGACTTTGGCTGAGGTCGTCATGGCTGCTCTGGCGAGCAAAGGCTACTGTGTGATCCAAACTAGCTTGAGCGACGAGGCCAGCTTGCCATTGCTCCTCCAAGCTTTTCTTTCTGCCGGACATGCACAGCATGCCAGGAGCGTGAAGCTGCTTGGAGGAGTGCGCAGGCACGCTCATGCGATGTGAGACGGCACCCTTCAGTTCGACGTTACGTGGGCGGAGGAGCAGGACAGATATTTCTTTCGCATGAAGCAAGAGGTGGAGGTGGACTGTGCAAGACGGCCTGTGACAGTTCTAAACATGCTTCGTTGTCAGACTGGCTACATGGGCTTTGAATCCAACAACAAGGCCCCGGTTGAGTTCATTGTGCTCCGGTCAGCCACGAAATCTCCAGGTCGCCTGGCTGAAGGAGCGGCGAGAGGAGCAATCAAACCCGGATGGTCTGAACTATCCGGAGGCATCCAACTTCCCCCCCCACCGGCGGCCCCGTGCCAGCCCTAGTGACCAGTGCCAGGATGAAGAACTCGACAACAAAGCCTTCGATGGCAGCTTCGAGCTCGGAGAGACGGGTGAAATGACAAGTCTGGGCTTTATCGGCTTTCGGCTCGTGTCTAGGTGAAAAGCTCTTCACGGACCTGGCGACAGCAATTGCGCCTTTGACACCCACGTGGCTGGCTTATGACTTATGGGTCGCTTGTGCCGTTGCGCCATATTGTGCCTATCGTCCTATGCTGCGATTTTGGCCTCGTGTTATCGTGATCGAGGAACCAGGCATACCTAGTGATGGTAATGCCTTCTGTTGCGTGCCGCAGGGCAGGTGAAAATTTCAACCGTGCTCTACCTCGCACACCTCCGATTGTAGCAGCCAAACCAGGCTGGGTGTCAGCTTTAGCTACATCATGAACCCTCTCCTGCGAGTGTGTGGTGCCCAGTTTCTCTTCACTCCCAGCATGTGATTTTGTAGAGCACCTCCCAGGTCAATGACCAAGAACGAGGAGGAGGATTACCTGCCGCAAGCTGAGTTGTTTGACTGGTTTCACGAGCAAGCTCTACCTACCTTACGAAGGCCCGAGTCTGTCCGGGACATGATGCAAGATCCGGATTCGGGTTGGACGGTTCCAGTTCAGGACTCGAACTCACGGATGTTAACAGCTACACCACGGAAAGTTGTAATCTGAATGCAGGAGTACCTCTTCTTCTCTCGACGAAGAAGGTGAATGTATACGAGAGCATGAATCAATGAAGCGAGACTCGTGAGACGATTCCGACGTCAGGCTGTGCGTGATGCATCTCATTGAGGCCGAGGGAGGTGAGGTGTGGTTTTACCCGAAGGCCGACAGCCCACGTGTTTGTCGTCGCCTTGTGTCGCAAAGAGCTCTCAGGATGGTTCCTTCCTATCCGGTGGCAAGCGGAGCATGCAGTTGCCCAAGACTCGCAGAGAGCGGGAGCTTCAGGAACCGACTTACCCAGGCGAGTTCCAGCTGCTCCGAACAAGCTCCTGATTTTCCGCCACGACATAATGGATTATTCCTTCCAGGCTCCGGTACCGAACATGCTTTCAGACTTCGAAAGTCACATGAGTCAGAGAGTGACAGGCCGTTGGCCGGAGCTTGGCACTTCAGGTGCGATATGAGGGAAGACCGACGCAGCCAGAGAGCAGCACTGCGATGTGTGATTTCACCTAGAGGCTTGGCTCATGCAGGACATCGGCAAGCCGCGTGCTGAGACGTTGCAGTCAGATGCGCTTGGCAGCTGTGTTGGCAGCTGTGGCGTTGTCGCAATGCCGGACAAGACTAGGCTACCAGGCGTTTCAGCTGTAGAATTCAGCAAACCGGCACGCGCCTCATGAAAATGCTAATGCCAAGTACTGACAATGCAACCGCGCTTCCCCGACGACGACCACGACCGACCATTGATCATCAGTCGCACCATGAGAATAGCAATACTCGGCACCACGATCAGGGATACCCAAGGCTTCGCTTCGGACAAATGCCTGGTATGGGATTAGCCACATATAAGTTTGCGGGTGTCGAGTACGAGAGGTTTCGTTTCATGAAGTACGGCACCTAATGTTATGGAGAGCTGCTGTACATGCCAGTACATGCGCACTATAAAAGGCACTTTGTATGAACAGCCGTATCTAGACGAGCAGCATCAAGACAAGCTTTTTCACGGGCTTGCAGATGCACAACTTGTTCAAAAGTATCGAAGTGTGGAATGGTGTCCATACCGGCATATGCATGCAGCTACATGTGTACACAACATCGTGTCTCAAGTATCTTTATCATTATCGTTTTGCGTGTAGGTAAGCGCTGGTTATTGTGTTTTGTGGATTTCGTCGAAAAACAGGATCCAGCGTTTTCCAGGTATTTGCAACGATGTTCCAACTGTGTCTGTCTCGTTGATCTTAAACTCGAAGTTCCAGGAGTACGCAACCCCATTCCCGGATAAACCATGCTGGGTGTACCTCCCTCGAATCACATTGAAATGTGATCTACTTTGGGTTGTGACGCCACCGCTGGATGTGTTGATGCAGTATATGCCTGGTGATGTGGCCTGAGAAAGTATCACATGGTTACTCTTATTGTGAAGACACGCAGACCCTCTCAGCACGAAGATACTTAAGACTGTACGTAGGCACACCAGCAAAGTTATGCAGCCAGAAGCCGTCGTGCGTGTCTGTAGCATGCTGCAATCCGCTTGTTCAATTCGCAAAGCTATCGTAAAGCTGGACTCTTGCTTACGCATTTTCCGGGATGTCTGAAGAGAGCAGTCCATCTGCTTGCTATTTTCCCTTGGGTTCGAGACGTGGGGCAGGTCCCAAGCAATTCGCGAGATGTACCTGAACCTGGGTCAGATGGGAGACTCGGGCGAGGCCGAGAACGGAGGGCGGAAGAGCGGGGCCGACGACGCTTCTTTGCGGCAGGTGGTGTGCAACCCCGGGCCTGAAGTCCCCGATGGACCCAAGGCAGATCAAGGGTCTCGTATCCGAGAGTGTGGGGAATCCCTGTGGTCGAGGCGAGCATCATGGCTTTGACCACTCGGCTTCCGGGAGAGGCCGAGAGCGAAGGGGTTCATTGAAAGCACAGGACCACACCCCAGAGTGCGCAGGCATGGTCTCCGGCCCAATACTGGTCCATGTTCTCCTCAGGAGCGACGGTGTGCGATTGGGTCCTTCATTCTCCTGCATTCTTTGCAAGGCACGGACACCTGCTCACAGTGGCCGTACTCGCGCTGGGAGTGACTTGGCCGCTCCGTGATGGGCTCAGGCCACGAATCTGATGTCGATCCCAGGACAGAGCCCTACTACGAGGAGGGCGCCGATTCCATCGCCACTGGCAAGTCGTACACCTGCTCTGTTCTTACAAGGCATCTCCTTAAGACCAACCGTGTAAACATGCACCAACGCTGAGGCCATGGTGGATTTGTTAGCCAAGACCAGATCACTCAGTTTGACAACGGCCGGCCCAGCCTGTGAGGGTTTGATGCGCCGATGTAGTACTTGAAAGACTAGATAATACCTTACAACACCTTAACAGTAATATAATATACACTGTTCTGTACTCAACTATAATACAATAATGCACAATACAAAATAACATAGCACAATAAAGCAGTACAAAATAACATAGCGCAATAAGAGAGAGCATGATATGACCAACCAAAATACGATATAACATAATACCAAGCAAGAGTAAGAACAAGAGGACGAGGAAGAGAAAGAGGAAGAGGACGAGGAAGAGGAAGAGGAAGGAGTAGTAGTAGTAGTAGTAGTAGTAGTAGCAGCAGCAGCAGTAGCAGTAGTAGTAGTAGTAGTAGTAGTAGTAGAAGTAGAAGTAGAAGTCGTAGTAGCAGCAATAGCAGTAGCAGTACGCGCATAGCCTGGGGTTTGCCCCCCAGCACTTGTCCGCACTTGTCCTCAGGACTCACCGCCCTAGCTTCTTAGGGTTTGCTTACCAACATCTCTTTTTGGGTTTGGCTACCAGCATCTCCTTTTAGGGTTTAGGGTTTGGCTACCAACATCTCTTTTTAGGATTTAGGGTTTGCCTAGGAACATCTCCTTTTAGGTTTTAGGTTTTGGCTACCAACATCTCCTTTTAGGGTTAATCGACATCTCCTTTTAGGGGTTAGGTCCTTTTAGAGTTTAGGGTTTGGCTACCGACATCTCCTTTTAGGGTTTTGGGTTTGCTTACCAACATCTCCTCCAACATCTGCTTTTAGGGTTTAAGGTTTGGCTACCAACATTTCCTTTTAGGGTTTAAGGTTTGGGTACCAACATCTCCTTTTAGGGTTTAGGGTTTGGCTACCAACGTCTCCTTTTAGGGTCGAGGGTTTGTTCACCAACATCTCCTTTTGGGGTTTGGGGTTTGGCTATCGACCAACATCTCCTTTTCGGGTTTAGGGTTAGGCTACCAAAATCTCGTTTTAGGGTTTAGGTTTGGGTACCAACATCTCCTTTTAGGGTTTAGGGTTTCGCTACCAACATCGCCTTTTAGGGTCTAGGGTTTGCTTACCAACACCTCCTTTTGGGTCTGGCTACCAGCATCTCCTTTTAGGGTTTAGGGTTTGACTACCAACATCTCCTTTTAGGGTTTAGGGTTTGGCTAGCAACATCTCCTTTTAGGTTTTAGGTTTTGGCTACCAACATCTCCTTTGAACGTTTAAGGGTTTGGCTATCGACTTCTTTTTTTAGGGTTTAGGTCCTTTCAGGGTTTAGGGTTTGGCTACCGACATCTCCTTTTAGGGTTTTGGGTTTGCTTACCAACATCTCCTCCAACATCTGCTTTTAGGGTTTAGGGTTTGGGTACCAACATCTCCTTTTAGGGTTTAAGGCTTGGCTACCAACATCTCCTTTTCGACTCACACACTCGCAAGGCAGGCATGGCAGGTACGGTCCGAGGTGTCCTTAAGGTCTAGGGTTTGTTCACCAACATCTCGTTGTAGGGTTTGGCCACCAGCCTCGTGCCAGTATCGTTACCAACATCTCCCTTTAGGGTGTAGGGTCTGCTCAGCAGCATCTCCTTTTAGGGTTTTTGGGGTTTGCCTACATTGCGCTGTGCAAAAAAAACGTGGCCAAAAAACGACCCTGCGGCCCGAGCACTGCTGCCTGCCTCGGAGTCTCCAAAGTATTGTGCAGGCCACGTATTCTGAGGTTCCGGCTGCCGCAGCAGAGACCAATGTGCGCGAAATATTTGCACTTGTTGCTGATATCATGTTCTGCCGTCAGACTCTTCGAGCCCTCGAAAGTACTGCTCCTGGCACGTATTTTGCACTTGCCGTTGTGCTCTACGGCATTGGCATAGCCAACAACAGGCCGCGCGGCATGAGCCCTGCTGGCAGCCTCGAAGTCTCAAAAGTATTGCGCTGGCCACGTATTATAAGGTTTCGGCTGCCGCAGCAAACACCAATTTGCGCAAAAAATTTGGATTTTTTGCGGAAATCGTCTCCTGCCATCACAACCCTCGAACCCTCGAAAGTACTGCTCCTGTCACGTATTTTGCATATCGCTGCGTATGTAGCGAAATCCCCTCGGGGCAACGCCAGGGCTACACCCGTAGCAGTAGCAGTAGTAGTCGTCGTCGTAGGAGTAGTAGTAGTATTAGCAGAAATAGTAGTAGTAGTAGTAGTAGTAGCAGTAGTAGTAGCAGTAGCAGTAGTAGCAGTAGCAGTAGCAGTAGCAGTATGTGAGCATGCATACATGATGT